TGTATGTATGTATGTATGTATGTATGTATGTATGTATGTATGTATGTGTGTATGTCTGTATGTCTGTATGTCTGTATGTCTGTATGTCTGTATGTATGTACACATATAAATGTGACTATACCCCCCCACCAACTAAGAACCTGAGATTTCACCCGTAGAAAGACCATGTTCCTCCACGACCCAGGAGTTTCCCGCTGGCTCCTCATGTCGCCCGTGTCGCTGAGTAGACCAACGTTCCGCCGCGGAACTGAGACGTTCCGGCTCTCAGCCGTATCAGCTCCGCGGAGCTCAAGTCTTTGAAGAATTCCCAAGCTGGTTTGAACATGTTTTTCCCTTTTACACACCAAAGTGCCAAAGTATACTTTGTGAACAAGACCGCCTGGCTCCTCAGCCTGGCAATGGTCATGCAATTCAACCATCAATAAACCCACCGGTCTCCAGAATGGTTTAAGTTATTTAGCCTATGTTACATCTCCATGGTGTTTTTGATATCAACAAGTAAGTCAACATAAGTCAACTTTCACTCGAGCTCCTAACACCTCCAATACCACCCCCCCTTTCTCCGACTCGGCCACCGCTGCAGCACAGCACCGTGGGCCCTCTGCACACGACGCAGGGCTCGGTAGCCTCGCGCGCCCCGTCGCGGTGTTCGGGAGACGCGTGGGGCGAGGCCACGGAGGCTGCGTCCAGCTCATCGGGCGAGGCCATGGCGTGGCGGCTCGCGCGCGCGTGAAGCGGCGGAGCAGGAGGAGTGAGACTTTTCTCTTCAGAGCCAAGAATGGTGAAAGGAGTTCGACGTAGCGGGATGAAACATAGTCACTGGTGGTGAAAGGAAGGCCGAACAAGGGGTCTGAAGTCATGAAGAAGCTGCGGGGTGGACAAATATCCATAGGTTCCTGGGATAGTTTGTAGTTCATTGATGGAACAGTTGTGTGGGCAATGCAATTGCGTTTTCACACGTGCGAGGGCGAGCCAGCATGTAGAGTTCCTTGCTTGCTTGCTCAGCTCGAGCTTAGGAATCTCTGGCTTTAACCAGGTTTTCTAGTAGAAGAAACTTGGCCTGAGTAAAAACGGCTGCAAACATTCAGCCCATCTGATCTTGATGCACAGAATCGCCACATCCAGTGGGTTGAAACCTTTGGTTTGCAACTCTTGCCACATTGCGGGAGTTGCAGGGCTCCTCTCTGCAGTGAAATCCAAACAAATACTGTATCAGGTACAGATTCGATTCTTTTGTTCGGTGGTCGTTTGTTGGAGCTGCAACCCAAGTCTGAGGCGGGATGCATTGGGATGACCTGACATGTGTGGACCAGTTTCTAGGATGTCTCACCTTCAAGCAAATGTTGAATAATTATGGCCTGCTGTGTCCAGGGCCGGACATTTATGGGAATGTGAGGCAAAACATCAGCACAAATGAAGGTTGCACCAAGATATCATGACATCACATGTATCAAAATATCATTAGAGCCTCAAAATGTATCAACAATGGTGATATCTCAAAATGTATCAACAACTTTGAGCCCTTCAAGGCTCTAATGCAGCAACCATGGCCTTGGTGCTCACCAAGCCGAACCCGCGCTTTACTCCCCGCCCAGGGCACCGAACAATGAAGCACCACAGGGCTTGTGGAGCTGTCTTCATCGCCTGAACGATCCGAGTTCGCAGGACCGACCCGGCGAAGTACCGATCGCGTGGTCGCATGGCGCGTCGTCTCTTTTGAGCTTCTCTGCACGTCTGCAAGCCGCAAGCAGGTAGGTTTCAGGGTTGATGTGCCCGATCCAAGCGCAAAGGGAATATGGCAAGTTGCATTTCTCTGGTGGGTCTCTAACATCTCTAACTCTCCCAAATCCTCAATCTCGTTCTCGAACGAGACATCAACCCCAAACGAGACATCACATGAGCACTTCAAGGGTGCAACCTGGCAGGCTTAACCTGCGGCGGAACCCCGGTTCGATGTCTTGAGATATAAAGTCACGGCAACTCATTCTGAACCTCCAGGGGGCCCAACTGATCAGGGGAGGTACTAACCTAACTCCATGCTCTCCAACTCAATCAGAGTCATTCATCCTATTTCCTGGAGTCCAGGAAATGGAAGAACCTGCACAGCCCACGCAGCCAGAGCAGGTGCTTGCGAGCTCAAATGGCCCAAACCTTGCCCAAACCAGGCCCTAAAGCTCAGTCTTCACCACATCATTCTCCACATCCACGTCGCTCGAGACCACGGCACCCAACACCGCGTGCTCCGACGGCTGCGCCGCGTCCGGGACTAAAATGCCCTCCACCGTGGCGCCCGCTTCGGTCCAGGTGATGGGCCTCAGGCGCGCCAACGGCAGGCAGGTGGGAAAATGACATATGACATCATATGCACTATAGAAGTGAACTATGGTGAAAATCCATCAAGTGAGTAGATTAGATCAACTATAGTAACTATATTGATGATGTCCACCATCCAACTGTTGTTTTTGGAGCTTTTGTGTGAGGTGGTGCTGGCTTTCCTTCCTTCCGAACATCAGCACAGGCAAACGATGGTGGTGAATGGTCCAGGATGGCCCAGGGCTTTTTTCACTTGCAAAATGGCGCGTTTCTCTGTCGGGTCCCGGTTTTCCGAGCACAATGACCCAAAAGTGGTTTCTGTGAACCCCCACCTAAAAGACATGTAGGGGTGCCAGTGCCAGCTGAAAGCACTGCAATGCCTATCACACACCGCTCCTAGCACATCTGTGACAGTGGGTCAACCATGGCACCGTTGGTGTTGGCTTGCGAATCATTCTCCAGATCGAGCCACTTCCAAGGGTAAACGCACTGTTAAACCCAGATCTGTCAGGGTCCGATCGATCCTTTCAAATCTTTCAAGTTTCATGTCCATCTTCGGGGGTTTTGGGGTGTGCACTCTTGAGTGCAAAATCTCGCAATACTTGACTCCACAACAGACTTTGATCAAACATGTTTTGGACCATTCAAAGGGCACCTCTCTCACCTGCCTGTCAAGTCGCTTCCCCACAGCTTGAAGACTGCTCCTCACTTCTTCTCGATTAAACATCTGCGCATCCTTGGCGGGAAACTACACAGCCCCCCCTACCATCGGCATTATATACATGCCTCAATCAACCCTCACCACCGGCCACGCCAACATCACGTCTCAGTCAAGTTGTCAAAATTTCCCGGTATGACAGCAATGTTTGATTCTACCCTGAACGTCCACCACTCTCAATCAATCACATTCTGAGGGTGATGGTATCGGAAACTTTGGTTGCTTCCGCTGTGTTTGCTGGCACTTGGCTTTTCGGCGCGATCATCAGGATGTGAGCCTTTTGACTGCGCATCCACAACATATCCAACATGTGCTTTTAAACATGCTATATTACCGCTATATATGCAATAACAGATTACAAAGAATACAGCAATAACTACAGCAGCATCGATAACCCCTCAGCCAACCAGCATGCGAAGCCAAAATACAGCGAGCGTCTTCTTCCTGCTCCTCCTGGCTTGTGGGGCCCACTTCTTCGGGATCCACACCGTCTCCCTCCAGATGTTGATCGTCCTCATCATCCATTGCTGCAGCCTTGCGGGTGAAGATGCGAGACGTGCCCTGGATGGCGCCCTGGGGAGAGGACCTTGAGTGGTTGCCCTTGATGGTAGAAATTCACGAAGAACAGGACCTTTCGTGGCGTCAAGTCATGAAGCTCACCCAAAAGCAGCGACTCTAGATTGACATACCTCGGCCCATCTGCCAATGTCATCGCATCTTTGAAGCTTTGGACGTTCCTCGGTGCCCTAAAACAGGAACCACCCCAAAGCCCGGCGACGGGGCGTCGCTGGCGGCTCGTCGTTGGCCTGGTCCGTTGATGGGCATTTTCCTAAGCAATATGCACCAAACACTCAATGGAATATGTGCCTCCATTGGTGTGGTTTGTGGGGTCAATGTAGGCAAACATATGATCAAATAATGATGGAGTGTCTGGGTAACTAACTAAATGAAACATCATGAACAGCACAGGGGCAGCACATTCTCCCAGTTCGGTGGGTCCATCCTGGGACGCTTTTTCAAGAACAAAAGAGGTCGACTTAAGGATGCTTTAAGGATCCCTACAGCTCCAAGCAAGTACCTTCTCAAGTGTTTGGGGTGGGTTCAGAGGGTCCAGATACCTTCTGAGGAGGTACTTGGAGCCCTAGGGGATACTCATCCACCAGGATCTGGGGAATTTGGCATTAATATGCTTTACCCTAGGGCTCCAAGTACCTGCTGAGAAGGTGGAACTGGGGTGGGTGCCAGGAGGGTCCAGTCGTACCTTTTGAGGAGCTGGAGCCCTAGGGTTTAAGGATCCCCTCCAAACATCCCAAAGCCGTTGACTCGCTTCATAGCACCCGCACGCTCCGCACCGGATGGGTTTTCTCGCATCTTCGCTTGGATGGCTAACAATTCAATCATTCTTATAGCGGACTCTTGCTTGACCTTAAAAATGCTTCACCTGGTTGACCCTGATGCAATCTCGAGTAAAACAATGGACCCACGCCTCCCCAGGACCTACTCCTCGCGTCCACCCATCCCTCCACCCATCACTTTGAGGGGCGAAGACCGAGTTCTTATAGCGCCGGAAGCGTCGGCACACCTCCGCCGTCTGCCGCTCCAAGAGCCTGGGCCGTGTGCCCGGTGTGTCCAAAACAGTCATGAAGACGGGCCTGGAAACGCCAGTAATTAGGTGGAAAATGGATGAACACGGTTGGAAGATCTACCACATGTTCTTGCAAAGGTCCGGTGTTTGTTTGGTTTCTGTTGCATGACTACTGCCAGGACCAGTACGGATCTAGCGTATGGATCGAAACCTATGTTGCGCATACCGTTCCAACATTTGCACTTGCACTGGCAAAAGTCACCATACTGGAGACCTATAGATTAATGACGTGATTTTGAGAATAACATATGATATTATGTGAAGATTTTGTGCAGCCGGTGACAGGAATAGTGTCCTCATGTTTCCTCCCTCTCCCTATTTACTCAATTGTTGTCTGACTTGTCGCTGGTTTATTGCTCAGTTGCCTTCCCAAGCGTAGCTCTTCTCACTTTACTGATGTTTTCTGTTTTACATCATTTCTGGAAACGATGTTGGTCACGGAATGGGGAACGTCAGCCTCGAATGCCCACCAGGTGCCTCCTTCTCAAAGCAGCGTCCGTTCCCAAAGCCAGGTTTTAGGATGAGATCAGTGAGATCACACACACATTATATATCAGCACCCGACTTCACAGGTCTCCTCTAGTGGCTTTTGCAGACTTAAAAGTGGCAGGTGGTGACCTGGCAGTGAGGGTGCTGGTATATATATATATATATATATTATAATATATAAAGAGCGACTGCAAAGAATGGCTGAAGTGTGGATGGAAAGAATGTGCACCCGGTTCTTCCCCTACGCACCACGCCCTTCGACACGTGCCACACACTGAATCAGTCCAGGAAACCCTTGTGATGCCATGGGCGACAAGGGCAGTGCCAAGATATTCCTCAGTTCGGGAGAAACACTGCGTGGCCAAGTCACCTGCCAACAAACAACTGAAATCAACCCAGCAGCCGATGAGTCCTTTCTCAACCGGGCAAGCCCACGGCGATTGCTTGCCCCCCATGTTTACACATCGTCACATCATCCTACTATGATAGAGTTGCCGCTGGAATGGCCAAGCTGCACAAACCCATAAATTCACACACACACAC